TATATATATATATATATTTACATGCACATTTTTGTCATATTCCAAGTTGGTATAATATTTGTCTACATCTTTCAGTTGTTTGTCCATAATTGTTATAATCAATTCCAATATTCTTAGGGCCTCTTTCTCCAACTCCGATTATTAATTACCAATAGGCAAGTTCAAGTCGGCAAAGATTAAGACACTTATTATGAAACAAGTCGAATGAATGAATGGATTTCAATCGAAATTATTCAATTATTCCCTAAATTTCTAAATATTGTAAACACGTAAAAATTAGGTTGTGCTTCATACGCACGATATATGAATATATGTCTCTGATGGGATCTTCATGTCTATTGATTGATTGTAGGACAAAGAAGTTTTCTCGGATCTTTGTCCTACAGCCAATCAACAGGCTTGGAAGCCTTGTAATGCCAACATATGAAATATCGGTCGTAGAAGCTATGGTCGTGTCGTATTATTATATTTCACAGCTGATAGATTTCCTAACCTTAATAATTGTCAATTTTAACTTGATATTTTGGTTCGTGGGACAGAGTGACATTCTGACGCCATTCTTGATTCGTTCTAGAACTAGATTCGTTCGTTTCAGGCAAAAATGCGTCGAATGAACCTAATTTTATCGATTTCTGATGCGACGTTGATAAACTGAACAATTACCTTTTTATTTACAAATATATAATGACTGAATAAATACAAAACAAAATGGATATAATAAAGGAACATCTGCTTATACCAACGAAGTATATGATACTGACAGATGAGAGAATTTGTTTGACAGCTCACAGAAACTGGCTCTCTCGATTTTTAACAGTTGGCCCATTGAATTTTATCTGTCATGATCGTTTATCCAATGATGAAATTGCAGCACAGCCTACTATCGATGAATTGGGTGGTGATTGGCTGAAAATTTATGCAAAAGTATTTTTAACATTTTCATATATTTTAAGTAAGGTATACAATGAGATAAGCATGTAAAAATTTTGTTATCATAGGTATATATAAAGCAACACAAGAATGTAATTCCTTTACCAAGAGGAAGATCTATTAATAATATAAGGAATCAAGCAGAATTAATGTTTTCGCAATTGTTGCATTATGTGGCAGAAACTAATTATCGAAATCTATGGAAAGAAATATATAAAAAATATTACAGTATGTATTTGATTTTCTATTTAAAATTTTTATATTTAAACTTTTAACGTTTTGTTACTAGATGTATTTTTTTTATATAAATTAATAATTTCTTATAAAATATATAGATCCTTGGAATTATGTTGAACAAAAAGAACATTCTAATATCAGTGCTAATGTAAGCGATGTTACTATTATGCATGAAATATTGAATAGAATGTATGGCTGTACAGTAGTACAAGTGCAACATGGTATAGTTTTATCAGTATCAAATGGTATAGTGTCTAAAACACATTGTAATTTGGTTCCAATCTACTTTGTCATAGAGACACCATCTGCATTTATAATGTTTTATGAACAGACTGCCAATTATTCTCTTCATGAGTGAGTATGCACATCATATTTATGTATATATTTTTAATATATATTAATAATTACAAAGTATTTCTGTATTCTGTTATTTATAGATGTGTAATGTATAGTCCTGCTGCTCTTAATACAAGTTATGGAAAGCCTTTGTTTATAGTTTATCAGTTATTGAGATTATCCAGAGACTTGCATGATCGCGGTCTTGCTTTAGGTGAAATTACACTCAGTGATATGTTAATTACAGACAATT